GGAAGAAAGCCCCCCATGTGAGCTGGGAAATTCGGGGGGGGGGGGCTGCTTTTGAGTCCTTCTCCCGTTATCTGTCGAGGGGGTTCGCTCCCCCCCAGCCCCCGTTCCCCAGAAAGGCTGATCCCGGATCTGCAGATGCAGAAAGTCCCTTAAGATAAACCCGAACGGGTTGCTTGCCAGCCTCCAGGCGAGGCCTGGAGATCTCCCGGAACGGCAGCTTATCTCCAGACTGGAGAGACCAGTTCCCCTTGGAGAAAATGGCGGGTTTGGAGGGTGGACTCGGCGGCATTTATAGGATGCGGGAATGGCTCCCCCTCCCCAAAACCTCCCCCTCCCCGGGCTGTACCCCCCCATAGATCTAGTACCCCCCAATCTCCAGCGATTTCCCAACCCAAAAGGAGGGAGAGGGGGAAGCCCCCCTCCATGGTCTCCTTATAGCTATCCAGAGGGGATTCACACTCTGGAGGCAATAGGCAGTGTTCCCTCTAAGCTGAGCGAGTGTGAGCTAGCTCACAGTTCTTTTAGCCTCCTGCTCACACGTTTTTGCCCTAGCTTGGGACGGAGGGCTCCAGAGCAGACTCATTGATGCAGTAGCCAAATGGCTCGCGCACAACTTTCATGCCGGTCGCTCACACAGTAGAATTTTTGCTCACAAGACTCCACGGCTTAGAGGGAGCATTGGTAAGAGGTTTGTGTGCGTGTGGGGGGGGGGTTTCAGTGGTGACAGATCCCCTCTTCAAGCCCACTTTGGCAGGTGGTGGCTCCATCTTGGAGAAGGCGATTCCCTCCCCCCACTCCGGCCCGAGGTCTCTGACCCTTCCCCCCAGTCCTTTTTAGGCGAGCGGCTGATGCAACAGAGAAATCTTGTCTCTCTCTGTGTTGCAAAAGCCGGTTGTGAGTCCGGGAGAGAGGATTGTCAAGAATTATGTGCCGGGGATTTGCTTGGAAGCAGCTGTGCCGGGTCAGGCACCGTTGGCAACGTGACTCTGGTGTGACTTTGCCCGCACGGGGCACCTCTTGTGTAAAACTGGGCTGCTGAGCGTGGAGATACGTGGCCCGTGAGTCTTCTGCCCATGGGGGGCAACCCGCTCTACACGAGGGACACCATGCACACGCAGATTCCCAGAGCTGAGCGTTTGTGTCTCGATCCAGCATCATGTTCAACCAATGCTCCCTCTAAGCCGTGGAGTCTTGTGAGCAAAAATCCTGCTTTGGGAGATACTGGCATTAAGAACATAAGAGAACGTAATTTTGGATCAGGCCAATGGCCCATCCAGTCCAGCACTCTGTCACACAGTGGCCAAAAAGACCAGGTGCCCTCAGGAGGTCCAGCAGTGGGGCCAGGACACTAAAAGCCCCTCCCACTCCCCCCCCACTCCCCAAAGCACCAAGAATATAGAGCATCACTTGCCCCAGACTGAGAGCCCCTATCTATACCTTGTGGCTAATAGCCATTGATGGACCTCTGCTCCATGTGGCTTATCTAATTCCCTCTTGAAGCCATCCATGCTTGTAGCCGCCGCCCCCTCCTGTGGCAGTGAGTTCCATGTGTTAATCACTCTTTGGGTGAAGAAGGACTTCCTTTTATCTGTTCTAACCTGACTGCTCAGCAATTTCATGGAGTGCCCACAAGTTCTTGTATTGTGAGAAAGGGAGTGAAGTTCACATTAAAGTTGTGAGCGAGCGACTTGGCTGCTGCATAAATTAGTTTGCTCTGGAGCCATCCTTCCTGAGCTGAGACAAAAATGGGCGAGCTGGAGGCTAAAAAACGGTGAGCTAGCTCACACTAACTCAGCTTCGAGGGAACACTGTGTTCAACTTGGGCCTGTGCCTGCAGAAGTTATTACAGCCGAAACCCAAATTGCTAAGAGCCCCTCTGCCTGTGTTTGCCATCTGTCATTTGTGAGACATGTTAAAAAATCATGTGAGAAATCCGGCCGCTCTCCCCATCTTTGCACGCAGGGATCTACGTTTGCGCCAGATGCGGCTACGAACTCTTTTCCAGCAAAACAAAATACGCCCATTCGTCCCCATGGCCGGCGTTCACCGAAACCATCCACATCGACAGCGTCTCCAAATACGAAGAGCGCCCAGGTGCCTTGAAGGTGAGCGTGGGAGAGTCCAGGAGGGCCCATGCCTCTGAGCACGCCTAGAGTGCTTTCCCCCACCGCCGCTGTAGAGAGACAGGAGACCAAGCCGAACTCTCTGGTGCTTGAATGCTGTCTGGGTGAGTTCCTCATAACCATTTCCTCTTCTCGATTTCTTCCCAGGTGCTCTGCGGGAAGTGTGGCAACAGTCTGGGCCATGAATTTCTCAACGACGGCCCAAAGAAGGGTCAGTCTCGCTTCTGAATATTCAGCAGCTCTCTCAAGTTCGTCCCTAAAGGTGAGTTGCTGGGGAGGAGGCAAAGTTCTTGGCCGGTGCCATCTTAGTTGATTCGGAAGGGAGCAGGTAGTTTCTGGCAGGCCGCCTGGATTCTGCGATGCTGCCCTGCGAGTGCGGAATCGGTGACAGTTTTACCACAATTTAGTTTATGGGGAAAGTGCAAAGCAAAACCCAGGTTCCTAGTCCTCAAGGTTAGCGAGACAGGCTTAAGAACATAAGAACGTAAGACGGCAGGGCTTTTTTTCTGGGGGCACGTGCCGGAACAGAGTCCCAGAACCTCTTCAACAAAGTTCTTTTTTAAATGTTTAAAAGTTCATCCGTTTTCAGTATACAGATTGAAAACTTTTATTTCCCTCTGGAGAGTTCCGGCACCTCCTTTTCCAAGAGAAAAGCTCTGGATCAGGCCAGTGGCCCATCCAGTCCAGCACTCTGTGTCACACAGTGGCCAAAACCCAGGGGTCCTCAGGAAGTCCACCAGTGGGCCTGGAACTCTGGAAGCCCTCCTACTATTGCCCCTCCCCAGTCGAACCTTGGAAGCCCTCCTACTATTGCCCCTCCCCAGCGCCAAGAACACAGAGCATCCCTTGCCCCAGACATAAGAACATAAGAGAAGCCAGGTTGGATCAGGCCAATGGCCCATCTGGCCCAACACTCTGTGTCACACAGTGGCCCAAACCCAGGGGCTATCAGAAGGTCCTCCAGTGGGGCCAGACCAGAAGCCCTCCCACTGTGGCCCACTTGAGCACCAAGAAGACAGATCATCACTGCCCCAGACATAAGGACATAAGAGAAGCCGTGTTGGATCAGGCCAGTGGGTGAAAAATTGCTTTTTCGGTGAGAGAACGCTCCTCCCCCCACTCCCCAGAATTCTTAAAAGAGCAAATCCTGTCTTGTTGGATGTCAAGAACCCATGAAGCTGCTTTATACTGAATCAAACCCTCTCGGTCCATCAACATCAGTCTTGTCTACTCAGACTGGCAGCCGCTCTCCGGGGTCTCAGGCAGAGAAAGGCCTTTCGCGTCGCCTCCTGCCTGGTCCTTTTTAAAGCGGAGATCCCGGGGATCGAACCGGGGACCTTCTGCATGCCAAGTAGGGGCTCTGAGCTCAAGAGCAGTTCTCAAAAACGCTCTCTCGGCCCCACCTGCCCCACAGGGTGTCTGTTGTGGGGAGGGAAAGGGAAAGGAGTTTGTAAGCCGCTCTGAGACTCCGAGTGAAGGGCGGGGTATAAATCCAATCTCCTCCTTCTCCTCCTCTTCTGTCAATCACTGAGGTGTTCTCTCAAGAGCAGTCCTTGAAAGAGCTCTCTCAGCCCCACCTACCTCACAGGGTGTCTGTTGTGGGGAGGGGAAGGGAAAGGAGTTTGTAAGCTGCTCTGAGACTCCGAGTGAAGGGCGGGGTGTAAATCTAACTCTTCTCCTCCTCCTCCTCCTCCTTCTCCCAGCTTTGAATCAAGGCTCAGCCTGTCCTTTCTCACCCTATTGATCAGCGACTGTATTTATTTTAAAGGTTTATCGTTTTGAAATCGCCAGCAGGCCTTGAACACCTCCGCTTGGGTTCTTTGAAGAACCGCAGGCCCTTTCTGCGTAAATGGGCTAAGAAGTTAGTCTCAGGGAGTTCCGCCGGGCTGACTCCCAAGCAAGGGGCCAAATTACCCAGATGGTTTATTTTATTTATTAAATTTATATCCGGCCCTCCCCGCCGTGGCGGGCTCAGGGCAGCTAACAAACATATGCATAAATGTATACATTAATATATTATAACGGCGGCGAGAATATTAGTGGCAAAAAATTGGAAGACAGATAAAATACCCTCAAAAGAGGACTTAATAATAAAGCTCTTAGAGCTCGCACAAATGGATAACTTGGGTTTATTATTGCAAGGTAAAGATAATAAATTGCAAAATAAAAGGTGGCTAAGGGTATATAATTGGATAAAACAGGTACAGGTTATTAAATAAGTGCAATGTTAATTATTTGCATAAGACATGTTACTTGATTCAATAACTCTAAAAATTTGTGTAATCTAAGGAAATGAAATGTTTGTATTTTTGGTGGAAAATATGGAAAATAAACGGGTGAAAAAAGGAGGCGTTTAGGCCAAGGCCTACCTAAAGTTTGATAATCTCCTCCTATCCAGCCCACACAAAGTTAAAAAAAAAATGTATACATTAAAACCCCTAAAACTCCAAAAATATGCTAAAACCAAAGTTAAGATTACAATACAAGACCATAACTACTCAACACATAACTATAATGAGAGACGGCGACGTTCTGTCAGTAATTGAATGGCCGCCTCGTCGATGTTCAGGGCCAGGGCCACAATGTCAAGGCGGCACTCTATTTGAAAGCCTGGCGAAGAACTCCGTTTTACAGGCCCTGCGGAACTCCAAAGGTCCCGCGGGGCCCTGACGTCCTCCGGGAGCTCGTTCCACCAATGAGGGGCCTGTTCCTGAAAAGCCATTTCAGAAGACCAGCTGACGGATTTCTCTCCCTCTCTCTCCCTTTGTCCCTTTGATTCCAGACAAGAAGAACTTGAGAGAGTAGCCATCTGTCTCCCGGAGACGCCCACACGCCTTCTAAACCTCCCTGCGCTTAGACGCCGCAGCTCCGGACCGACCGATTGAGGGAGACCCACTGGTCTGGCCCTTCCGCTCGACTTGGGGGTGTTCGCAAAGGCCGAAAGGATTCCCGGATGAGACGGAAACGGGGGCCACTGCCTTCACGGCTTACCGGTGGCGGGTGATCCCGTGCCACCAGCAGAGAGAGAGAGAGCGCCCCCTTCTGCTTCCATCTTGACTTCCATCTCGGGGCCCAGCTGGATTCAGTCTCTTCTTCCCAGCAATCCTCTCTCCCCCCCCC